TGAAATTAAAAATTCATTAAAACAGTTGGAAATGTAGTTAAGAAATTTTCCCTGAAGGTAAACCAAAGACAAAGAGACATAAAATAAAGAAAATAGTTCTACATTAGTATGGGAGCTTCAACATGAGATTAGAAGTTACAGAAGGAGAGAAGAGAAAAAACAGTTGAAAGGCAATTATCAAAGAATTTATCCTAGAAATGAAGGACCTGAATTTCCAACCTGACAACTTTCCTCACAATGAAAGAACAGACCCACCACAAAGCACATTACTGTGAAACTTCTGAATACCATGTAATCTCTCAAAGGCAATATTGGAAACAATAAGTTATTTGAGTCCAGAAATTGCTAGTAAACACAGAAGCAAGTCAAAGAGTAACCACCAGGATGGTGTTAAATCGAAGTCCCAGGACAACACTGTAATGGACTAAATGTTTGTGTCCCCTAATATTCATATGTTGAAACTCAACTTCATAATGTGAGGGGGTCAGGAGGTGGCATCTTTGGGAGGGGATTAGAATTAGATGAGGTCATGAGGATGGAGCCCTCATCAATGAGATCAGAGGCCTTATAAAAGTCACCAGAGGCTTTGCTTCCCCTCTCTGCTCTCTGTGTAAGGATACTGTAAGGATAAGGATACCGTAAGTCCGCAATCTGCAACCTGGAAGAGTTTCCTCACCAGAATTCCACAGTGCTGGCACCCTAATCTCAGACTTCCAGCCTCTAGAACTGTAAGAAATAAATTTCTGTTGCTTATAAGCCACCCAGTTTATTGTATTTTTATAATAGTATCCCAAGCTAAGACAAGCACCTATGTATTAGTTCTAGAGAGCCACAAATACAGACTGGAGCATGAGGTTGGATGGTTCCAGGAGGAATACTTCAGGATAAAAAAAATAACAGAAGAGGTAGATCTCCTGACAGTTTGGGCTCTGGAAAATTGCAATGAATGTCTTTTTTTGTTTTCTTTTACATAGATGTTGGAAAATACTTCAAGACTTAGGAGAGGATTGAAGAAAACTAAGAAATGAAATAGTAAGGTCATTATTACAGAAAAATAAAGCCATACAGAAATGGAATTATGGTCATTATCTACCACTTGATTCAGCAATGAACTGTCACAATAATGAAACTGCAAATGCTTAACCATAACTTATCATATACTGAGAGAATGGGGAAAGGGAAGAGGAAGTAGGAATATAAGACCATTAAATCTTCATCACCACACATGGAAGTCAGTAGTTACTGTCTAAAACTGATCACTTGAAAAATAGCAATATCCATAAATTATTGGAAATGTGAATGGAAATACAAGAAAGTAGGAGCAAAATATTTAAAGGAGTTACCTCAGAGTAGCAGAATGTGGGGAAAATTTGGGAATGGTCAAGGGCACAAGGTTTGTTGGTAACTTTGTCTTTTTACTAATATTTGACACTTGACTTTGATAAAAATGGAAATTATGTTTGAAAATACATGAGAGAAAGACAAAGTCTCAGAATACTAAAAGATCAATGTATTTTTTTCTTCTATTCATTTGTCACCTATTATACAATATTCAGATACTGCCTTTCTGATATCACCATTCTGTTCGTGTGATTTCAGCCCTCTGTTTATAAATGAATTATGTCATATACTTGAGCAGAAACTTTTTCCCAAATTTGAAGGGCATTAAGTTTTTCTCCTAAAGCAAAACGCAACTTTCCAACTCTTAAAATTTCCACAAGTAAAGAACTACTTATCAGTCAATACACCAAAACATAACTCCATTAAAAAGTTTTAAAATCAAGATTTTTTTGAAGCCGCTTTAAACGGCTGTCTCCATTTTTCATTTGCAAATATTATGCATTCCATTTGTTACACTAATATGAATTTTATCTTCCTGTTAAAGGCACAAACAGAGTTTGCTATGACTTATATGAAACCAGTAGTTAGAGGTCTTGGATGGTTATTTATACCACTTTTCCAAAGAGATTTAGTTTTTAAAAAAATCATTAAATGTAGGGTAAGAGTTAGAGGGGTTGGCCTGTGACCAAGAGTTCCCAGGAACAAATATTCCATTTAATCACTTTGTGCTACACTTCTTTTTTATAAAGCCTAAAGTTTCCCATTAGTAACATTAAAAACTAGTACTAGGAGAAGAATATCTTATATTTCCTCTTTTCTCTATTTACTTGCTATGTTCTTTTCCACAAATCAATATTTCATAGCTTCCTATAGTTCTCAGTCTTTTCCATCTTGCTTTCCCCCCTAAGGTTTCTCTAAAATCTCCTACCCCTGACAGACCTATTCTTTTTCTTGTCACTTTAGAAAAGAAGGACTCAAGTCAAGAGGAGTTTGAACTGTGCCTGACACTCAAAGTCACTGGAAAACAACTTATCAGGCAACATGCCCTTGACTTCAAGGCAAGTTTGAATCTTCAATATAAGAATCATGTAAAACAAGACCACAATTGATTAAAAAAGTTTACATTTTATATTTAGAAGAAAAATGCCTATAACAACAATGATTTTTTAAATTTGACTTTTTGTGTTGGACACCCATCTTCTATTTTCAGGAAATATTCTGTAGTCAGTATACATGCAAAGCAGTCTCATACAGTATCTGTCCTGAAATTGCTATACAATGAGAACTAATGTTTAAAATAATCCTTAAGAAATTAAAGGTCCAAAATAATTAAAATCAAAATTCAATTTTAATATCATTAAAGGATGGAAATTGGACTAAAACATTTGGGGAAGGATTTTACTTCATCTAAAGGCTTTCTTCTGGGACCTTAGCTAGCATGAAACCATATTTAAGTCCATCTAAACACTTCTGTTAATATCCCTTGCCCTTCTGTCAATGTTTATATGTATTAAATTGCACCACCATTCAACCAGCAGATCAAGCCAGAAGCCTGGGAATCAGGTTAACTTCTTTCCCCTTCCAATAGACCTTCAGATCTGGCTAGTTGTACTTCTGAAATACCCATTAAGAAGAGCTGCCCCTATCACTATTGTATTAACCCCCCAGTACTCTGCCACAGAACCAGTGGCCTCACTACAATTCTCCCACCTTGTTTCTCCAGCCGAAAAACCATTATTAATTTGCTCTTTGGACAAATGTTAACCCCTTAACATATATTTCAAGATCCTCCATGACTGATTCCACTACCCCATTGCATGTTTTGGTATCTGTCTCAGTCTGCCTTCTCCTCTCTTTTCTCACACCAGGTGCACTGGAACCACAGTCTCTTGCTTACCTGCTTTCCTGCAAGCTGTGTCTGCTTCCTCCAATGTTGACCCCTCTCTCTCAGTCTGCCCATCTCCTATTCACCCTTCAGATCTTAGTTTAAATGTAATTTCCTCAGTGAAGGCCTTCATGATCCCTAACCTAAATTCATTAAATGCTGTAACCATCTTGTTCATGTGCTTAGGTTCTGGGTTCACCTTCATTTGCACCTGCATGATAGGAGATGCCAATGGTTTTAGAAAAATAACAAAATTTAAAATGAGAAAATGCTATCCATTATTTAGGAAAACTCAGTTATCAATTTTGATTGTACATTTTGGGAAAACTGACAAAACACTAATGTGAGGTCTAAAGTTTGTTGCGACTTCAGTTTTTTGTCAACTTAAAAAGACAATCATGCTGTGGCCTCAATTTTTGGTAGTACAAAAAAAAAATCATGACTTGAGTGGAATTCCTTACCTACACCTTTTGCTCAAATGAATTAATTGATTTCTGGTTAAATATATGTATGTAACAAAATTTAACACAGCTCTAAAACCTACTCAAAAGGCACGTCAAGTTTTTCACAATTGCATGTGACCAACAATATTAATAGGAGCAGAGATAAATAGAATTTGAGATATCCAAGGGGTACTCTTTGACCAAACATTTTTACATATTGCTTTTTTTCTCGGGTGTATTACATATAGTATCTTAATAGAACCTTATTTCATTCTCAAAACAACTCCAAGTCATAGACCAAAGGGATATCATCATCCCCTTTGTATAGACGCAGTTTACATGGCTCACCCAAAGCCACCACCTGCTAAGTTATTGACCAGAGTTAGAATCCAGGACTTTTTACTGCAAATACAGAACTCTTTGTTCCATACTTGTTATGCTTATGTGCCATAATCTTAAAAAGTCAAGGTGTTAATTTCTTTAGGATTACAATGCTCTCTCCAGCTATTTCTATTTTAAAATGCAAAAATCTTATGAAGATTACATATTAAAATACACTTATGTGGGAAGAGGGAAAGGGGGAGGATCAGGATAGGGGTATGGGATTAAGTTATAAAAAGTACTATGTATAAGATAGATAAGCAACAAGGATATATTGTCCAGCACAGGGAAATATAGCCATTTTTGTAATAATTCTAAAGGGAGCATAATGTATAAAAATATTGAATCACTATGCTGTATACCTGAAACTAATATAATATTGTAAAACAACTATGTTTCAATAGAATCCTTTTAAACCCACACTTATGTGTGAATTAATTTGTCATATCATTTTCCCTTAAGTCAGAAGGACTCCAAGCTAATAGGAGGATTTATGACCAATGAGGGATGGCTGGAAAAGAAAAAAGGCTCTCACAAAAATAGGAGTAAGGGACACATAAAGAAACTTTATACTCTTACCTCTTTTTTGACCACCTCCATACAAGCAAGCTTCTTTCTAGCCAATTAATTCTCTATCCTAAAAAGTAGCTCTTTTCTCATCCTGTTTAACTGGCAGTGATAAAAATAAATATTTTAACCTGCCTGTACCTGACAATTATAGCATTTTACATTTGGATAGCACCACACAATTTAAAATATTTGCTTACATACATTACTGAATTTGAGTCTTGCAACAAATACATGATTTGCTTATTTACAGATGAGAATCTGACTCTCAGTGGGCTTAATGGGCAAGTCAGGGACAGAGTTCCATTCTTTAGACTAAAGCTTTTCTCTTTCCCAAACCCCACAATCATGTTCATAAAGCATCATTCTCAGGGGATACTTACATTTCATCACACCTTGAATTTCATAAACAGGCTTGAGAATCACAGCACCATAAAAGCCTTTAGGGAATGGATTTGTTAAGTCCCACTTATTTGAAAAGTCTGTAAGTTTCACAGTTCGTGTTCTGTTCTTGGGGATCTTCCATTGGACAATTTCCTTTAGGGTATAAATATGTTCATCATCACACTCATAGAACTCTCCTTCTTGTGACAAAGGCAAAGTAAATGAGTGATTTTGATGATTCCTTAGCACACCACAGTTCACCATTATTTCTCCATTGATCTCTTCGACTGAGTTGAGCATGATTTGCTCACCTTGCTTTATGATGAGATTCTCTAGTTTTATATCCTTCTGATGATAGAAGCAAGGATGCCCCAGTCTACTTGGTCCAATATGGATGGTTCTTGTAATTTCTTCCATAGTGAGGTATGGAGTTTTATCAGCCACAATCTTAAAAAGACCTGAGAACAGAATTCTGTGAATTAGAAAGTTCTCATAAGAAAATCACAGTGAGAGAGTTACAAAACAAGTAAAACGTAGCATTTAAAAGTAATGTACCTTTTTCAAGATTAGAGATATTTGTTTTAATCTTGAATTCTTCTAGGTAAAATCTTAATGTATTTTCTGTAGGTTACTGGATTGTCAGATCCAGACAGGCCACATAGATGGAAAGGGGAAAACAGTGTGAGATAGAAAAGGCCCACTTCTTGGAAATGCAATCTGCATGAGATACTGGCTATTTCCCAACCACATGTGTGATCTTGAGCAAGGCATTTAATCTCTCAAGATCGCATTTTTAATTTTTAAAATGAAAGGATTGGATTAGATCAATATTTCCATATATATTCTCTGGAAACACCAAAATTAAAAGATATTCCAGAAGGAAACTGTTTCATGGTCAAATTAACGATTACAAAGCTATTACCTGGAACTAGACCATGGTGATGGTTGTAACGCATTGTGAATGTATGTAATGACACTAAATTGTACACTTTAAAATGGTAAATTTGATGTTATATGCATTTTACCACAATAAAAAATATCTACATATTTCCAAGTAATTTAAGATTTCTCAGAAACTTTAGATGCACTGTGACTCACAAGAGCGGAATATAACGTGCAGAATTTCCCGAATTTCTTTCATTCTAAAACTCTTGGGGAAACATTCATAAATAAATTACAAAATAGTATGTCACGATATATTAGTGATCCACATAACTCTCCTTGAGAAATGCTAGGTTAGGTAGTTGTTCTGGATTGAATACTCTTGATTATATATCATTCATTCTTCTCATTACTTTTCTAATTTTGCCATGGTTTCACTATTTCAAATTTTTTCCTCTAATACTATTGGGATAGTCACTGACACAATGAATTTTTGTTCTTTAAGACACAGCTTTTTATGCTTGCATGTTTAAGTTTCATTCTTCTCTTTGAATTATTTTGCTTTTATTTTATAAGCACATGTGTTTTATAGCACTTTCAGAAATTTATTTATTGAATAAATTTTAATAAATTCCAGAGAAAATAAGAACAAAGGAAAAATTAGGTAATTGCTTTGTTAACCTCAAAGTAAATTAAGACAATTATTATATAATAGCATACACTAAGAAGGCAGTGTATAAAGAATCCTACTAGAATGATATAGCTTGTAAAAGTTATTTATTCATTTAGTCAAAAATACAGTCCAATTAAATTTATCTATGTATCAAATTATTATTAACCAGGTTACAATGTCTTTTATGTGTATTTTGGGTTATGGTACAAAGATTTATGATGTTATTTTTTAGTCGATCTTTGCTCAAATGAAAAAAAAATACAGGATTTTGTTTACTTTTAAATATAAATGTCCTGAAAAAGTGGGTGATACAATCCTGGCAAAGACTGAGGAAGGTAGCATGTGCAATCTGTCCTGAAAACCTTTATAAATTGAATAGTGTTCATTCCCTGCATGGTGTGCTTGAAGACAGTAAGGCAAAGAAACATTTACTTTGAAGGAACTTCTTATTTTATTATGTCTTGTATCAGGGAAAATCCAATAAAATAGTACTCTCGAATTCTCCACAGTAACTGAATTTGTGTGTGTGTGTGCACGTGCCCATGTGCAAGTGCATGCACATGTTTAATCTCATTTGTTTCCATGTGAAGATTTATTTCTAAGAGTCCACAGTCATCATCAGGGTATAAAAAATTCAGCAGTTTTTGTGAAATAAGTTTAAATAATAGCTACCTAGAATCTCATAAGCGTAGAGAAACATGGTTTCATTTCTATCCTTGCTATATTGATGACATAAGTCACAGAAGAGTTAAGTCAGCATCTTCTTTCCTGGGGAATTGTGTTCACCTAAGGTAATAACAGACCCAAAATGTTATGAAGTAGAAAAAGCCTGAAACCCTAAGGGCCACTATTATTTCAAGTTAATCACACACTTCAGAGCTGTCTTGTTGGATGTCTCTATTGCAAGAAAAATCTATCTAAGAAATCTGTGTGTTTTCCCTTATGAGATGATTAAGGACACAGTTTAGCATGCTAAGTGGCAGAGTACAGGAAAAATATTTTATTAACTTATTTCTTTATATGTTATTGCAGCCAGTCCAAAAAGTCCCTTCTTACAAACAGCCACTCGATACCATACAAAGTAGGGCAAGTATATACAGCTATATATGTATATATACATATATATGTGAATGATGTCACATTGGAACTTTAATTTCAGAATAAACTATAGCACCATAGATATGATCAGCTTTAAATTCAACCAACTGTTTTCCTCCAGCTTTTTCTCAAAGAGTGTAATAATAGTTTTATACTAGAGAAAATATAATTTGTTATTTTTTCAAAACACAAAACAAAACATATTTCAGGAGCTGAGTGATCATTAGAGAGATAATAAAATAAGCCAATATGTAATCCTCACAATGTAAGTTAAAAAGCAGAAAGAAAATAGATTTCTATCTCCAAATTTGATTGTCACCTATTAAAATGGATATTAGTGTTATTTTTACCTAGGAGAAATTGTTCATAAGGAGTATGTTACTTGAGAAACAAAAATTATAAGGAAATGCAATTAGTTGATCTGTTGAAAAATAGTCAATAAGTAAATTTAGTGTTTAAGATCTTGTCCCTGAATCTCAGGCTTTTGGGGAGTTTATATTTTTATCCAATTCTTAATGATCTGCAATCATTATTATTAATAGTAAGAGTAACAACTGAAATTTGCTTAAAAAGTTACAAACTTGAATAATTTTCTTCATATGCATCATTTATATTCTTTCAAGAACAGTAAAACAAATATTATTACTGGGGGATATAAAAACGGTCACGATTTTCATAGTCGTGGCTATGGAATCTCAAGCCAGACCTTTTAAATCCAAATCTCATAATCTTACCTCCACATCAGGCCACCTCCCTGTCACACAAATGACTTACAAGGACATTTCCGATGAGAACATGTTTATTCCAGTTCACAAGATATGTATGTGGGTCTCACAGGTTGGCCCTCCCTTTGCATTGGTCAGCCTTTCCAGACCCTCCAGTATGAGAAGAGCAAAAATAGCTTCCTGGTTCAGAGTGAAGAATTTACACTCATCAGATTTTTTTTCTACTTTTTTCTCTATCTCATCAATTCTCACACAAATGGGAGTAATTTAAAAAATTAAAATTTCCACCTGTGTATCACAATATTATTTATATACATAAGATCATTGTGTATGATGTTATGTGTGAAAAGAGTTCACAATCTTTTTTCTTTGTCTAATCTCTAGCTTGCTTTCACAGTTCAAACCAAATGTATTCCCTCTATCTCTGAGATAAGGAATCTTAGAGTGAACTTTATGTACTAATTCTCATCTTCCTCTCATATTATCAACATTAGGATTATTAAAATATTAGCAGCTTAGAATGTGCTGGAAATTTACATCTCTGATAGAATTCAATTTTCCAAATTACAATACGAGGTAGCTAGAAATAAAAAACAAACACTTCACAAATAACCACAGGAAAGTTTGAAGAGATACCATAAATTCTCTATCATCACACAGCTCATAAGATACAAGTAGGATTTTGTGTCTCTAAAGCTCAAGGGCTTAATCATATGGTTACATATTTAAGCCTTTCATTATTATTGTAAATCGTAAATTGTTTGTCCAGCCTTTCACCTTCCTTTTGGGTGCAGAAATTCTTAGAACTTTTTAAAACGAGCAACGTAAGAAAGTGAACTTCACTGATATTTGACATTGATTGGCACTAGTCTCATCTCCTCACACATCAGATGGCCACGTGCCTGGAGGTACAGGCATGCAGGAGGCCTGGGAACTGCACAAGCTGAAGGGGTTGACAGCGCTGTCCACAAGATCATGTTCTTTGAGTGTGCTGCAGACCACCTGGCCATACGTAAGTGGGTTTCCAGAATACATTATCACAGTTTTTAAATAAAGTAAATCTCACAAAATGGATAAATGGCTTCACACATTTCTTGCAAAGAAATCATGTACTGAAAATAAAACTAATATAAACACAAGTGAACAAAAAAAAGGACGAAGTCGACATTTCTACTATCACTCAATCTCTTCTTTAGCCATATTATGAAATAAAACAATGACACTCTCGTCTAATAAAATATGAAGAGTGGCTGAAACTTCTTTAACACTTTAAAGTTATCAACATGTGGATTCATATCCACTATCATCATAAAGAAATTTGCCTTTGAGATACAGATTAACAACACATCAAATATACATGCATATATATGCATAGCTGCCATAATTTTAAATAAATACATATATATTTGAGATACTGCTCAAAAATTTCTAATGGACTGAGCTATGTGAAGGAGAAGATTTAGAGACAAATCAGACTGCTACATATTTTTGATCATGTGTCTTGTCTCTCTGCCAATAAAGCAAAGTGTGTTTCACTTATTTTTGTGAGTGTATGCCTCTGCCTCTTTAAAATGGCACTTCGTCCTGCAATCAAGTTCCTAAGCATCCTTGTTATTTTATACTTGCCTATACAGGTTTCTCATTCCACATTTTCCTATTATTCTGTTACATTTCCAAGACAATTCTTAGGTCAGCACATCCTACAAAAACTATCTTCTTCAAGACTATCCCAAATCTGGTATTTTGACTAGAATCTTAGCTCAAGCATCTCTATTTAACTTCAGATTAAAACGAGATGCATGAAATACCCTATCAAAGCAAAAAACTCAAAATTCTTGAGCAAAGTAATGAAACATATAATAATAATAATGTCCAAACTGTGAGAAAATTCTCCAGATTTCTGAGATTACTGAAAATCATCAACTAATGAGTGATTCAAACAATCTTGACAGAAGTCTCCAAGAGCAGAAACAAGGAATGTGAGGAAAGTCAAATTCATAAGAAAATTTTGTGTAGTAATTTAATGGAGTATTTAGGAGGGGGAGAAGACATATCTAAGATGGTGACCAAGTTTGTTAAG